ATAGATAGGAAATCTACTAAATATTTACTTGATCTGTAACAGCAGATGAATTCTAGGTCAAGTGAACAGCAGTCTAACAAGAATCTTGAGAATAGAGAGTCATGACCCCTCAATCAATTCCCAGACTCGAGAAAGTTTAAAGATCCACAACCCCTTGAATGAAGGAGAGGCTGGGTCCCCTTAAGGAAGGACTCCGATACACTGCCAAAAACTTTTACTGTTAATTTTTCTCCCAAAGGAAGTTTTAGCTCATGTCCATCTCATGGTAGGTCCAGTGTGTCCCCAGACCCATTCTGTAGTGATTTAATCAGTTTAGAAATGCATAATTAGAATAGATATACTCAGAAACTGGCAGAACCCCCACACTGGATCCCTTACAAAAGGAGTAAGGGCTGTTGTTGTTGTTAGGTTCCCTCTAGTTGGTTCCGACTCATAGTGACCCTATATACAGAACAAAACACTTCCTGGTCCTGTGCCATGCTCACAATCGTTGTTATGCTTGAACCCATTGTTGAAGCCACTGTATCAATCCATCTCGTTGAGGATCTTCCTCTTTTTCACTGAACCTGTCCTTTACCAAGCATGATGTCCTGCTCCAGAGACTGATCCCTCCTGACAACATGTCCAAAGTATGTAAGACGTAATTTCGCCATCCTTCCTTCTAAGGAGCATTCTGGTTGTACTTCTTCCAAGACAGATTTGTTCATTCTTTTGGCAGCCCATGGTATATGCAATATTCTTAGCCAACACCACAGTTCAAAGGTGTCAGTTCTTCTTTGGTCTTCCTTATTCATTGTCCGGCTTTCGCATGCATATGATGCAATTGAAAATATCATGGCTTGGGTCAGGGGCACCTTAGTCTCTAAGGTGACATCTTTGCTTTGCAACACTTTAAAGAGGTCTTTTGGAGCAGGTTTGCCGAATGCAATGCATCCTTTGAATTGTAGACCGCCGCTTCCATAGATGTTGATTGTGGATTCAAATAAAATGAAATCCTTGACAACGTCAATCTTCTCCATTTACCATGAAGTTGCTTATTAGGCCAGTTGTGAGGATTTTTGTTTTCTTTATGTTGAGGTGTACTGCATACTGAAGGCTGTCGACTTTGATTTTCATCAGTAAGTGCTTCAAGTCCTCTTCACTTTCAGTAAGCAAGGTTGTGTCATCTTCATAACGCAGGTTGTTAATGAGTCTTCTTCCAATCCTGATGCCCCATTCTTTTTCATATTGTCCAGCTTCTTAGATTATTTTTTCAGCATACAGTTTAAATAAGTATGGTGAAAGGATACAACCCTGACGCACAGATTTCCTGACTTTAAACCATGCAATATCCTCTTGTTCTGTCCACACAACTGCCTGTTGATCTAAGTACAGGTTCCAAATAAGCACAATTACATGTTCTGGAATTCACATTCTTTGCAGTGTTATTCATAATTTGTTATGATCCACATAGTGGAATGCCTTTGCATAGTCAATAAAACACAGGTAAACATCTGTCTGGTATTCTCTGCTTTTAGCCAGGATCCATCTGACATCAGCAATGATATTCCTGGTTCCATGTCTTCTTCTGAATCTGAACTGAATTTCTGGAAGTTCCCAGTTGATATACTGCTGCAGTCACTTTTGAATGATCTTCAGTTAAATTTTACTTGTGTGTTATATCAACGATATTGTTTGATAATTTCTGTATTCAGTTGGTCATCTTTCTTGAGAATAGGCATAAATATGTCTATATAATATAACTTGAGCTTTCATAAGAACAGTTGAGGGTCTGTTCCACAGTCGGCCCCGGCCTTATTCTGACTGATGAAATTGAGCTTTTCCATTGTCTCTTTCCACAGATGTAGTGGATTTGATTCCTGTGTATTTCATCTGATGAAGACAACTTGTATAGTCACCATCTGTGTTGTTGAAAAAAGGCATTTGCAATGAAATAGTTGTTGGTCTTGCAAAATTCTATCATGCTTTCTCTGGCATCATTTCTATCATCATGGCCATATTTTCCAGCAACAGATCCTTCTTCTTTGTTTCCAACTTTCACATTCCAATTTTCAGTAATTATCAATGTATCTAGAATGCATGTTTGATCAATTTCAGACTGCAGAAGTTGGTAAAAAAAAAACTTCAATTTCTTCATTGTTGGCCTTAGTGGTTGGTGTGTAAATTTGAATGATTGTAGTATTAACTGGTCTTCCTTGTAGGCACATGGATATTATCGTATCACTGACAGTGTTGTACTTCAGGATAGTTCGTGAAACGTTCTTTTTGATGGTGAACACAACACCATCCCTCTTCAACTTGTCATTCCTGGCATAGTAGACCATATGATTGTCTTATTCAAAATGGCCAGTACAAATCCATTTCAGCCTACTAATGCCTAGAATATAGATGTTTATGTATTCCATTTCATTTTTGATGACTTGTAATTTTCTAGATTCATGCTTCATACATTTCACATTCTGGTTATTAATAGCTGTTTGTAGCTATTTCATCACATTTTGAGTTTTGCCACGTCAGCAAACGAAGGTCCCAAAAGCTTGCCTCCATCCAAGTAATTAAAGTCAACTCTACATTGAGGATGCAGCTCTTCTCCTGTTGTCTTTTGAGTGCCTTCCAATCTGAGAGGCTCATCTTCCAGCACTACATTAGACAATGTTCCACAGCTATTCATAAGCATTTCACCGGCTAAATCTTTTCAGATGTATATGGCCAGTTCCTTCTTCCTAGTCTGTCTCAGTCTGGAAGCTCAGTTGAAACCTGTCTATCAAAGGTAACCGTGATATTATTTGAAATACAGGCAGCAAAGCTTCCAGTATCACAGTGAAAAGCAAGCTGCCACAGTCCGACAAACTGACAGACACGTTGTGGGTAAATAAGCAGAGGGGCAATGAAAAAGAAGAAGACCTTCAACAAGATGGATTGGCACAGTGGCGGCAACAATGGGTTCAAGCATAACAACGACTGTGAGGATGGCTCAGGCCTGGGCAGTATTTCTTTCTGTTGTACATAGGGTCACTATGAGTCGGAACCGACTGGACTGCACCTAGAAACAACACATATAAACTTACTAAAAATAAGCCATTTCTATATTTTTAAGGAAGCAGCCCTGGTGTACAATGGTTAACCATTGGGTGTTAAACGAAAGGTCATCAATTCAAACCCACTAGCTGCTCCAGGGAAGAAAGACGTGACAATAGACTTCTGTAAAGATTATAGTCTTGGAAACTCTATGGGTCAGTTTTACCCTGTCCTACAGAGTCTCTGTGAGTCAGAATCTACTCGACAGGAATGGGTTTAAGTACCAAGATATATTATACCCCTATGAAGCACAAATTTACGTTTAGTACTCTTTGCCCTGACAAATTGAAACAAAAGAAAATAAGATTTGTTTCAAATGAGAACAAATAAGAGTTTATTGCGAATGTGTCATCTGAAACTTAATGGGATTGGCTTAATAAAAAAAAAATAGTGAAATATTTCACTTCTAGTAAATCATGTGTAATATTAGTGTATCAGATATTTGAAGTTAAAAGAAATTCAATACTTCAAAAATGGCTAATGTTACCATTTAAATCTTCATAAGGTCTGTTCAAAATAAAAATTATAAGATTTCTAGATGTTATAGATGATGTCAAGAGCACGTAAAAAAGTCCAAAATATGTCAGTTTGAATTATTCATTAGAATATGCTCAAAATAGAGTATGAAATTCTGAAGCCAAAACAGATTTCAAAAAGTTCTCCAGATTATGTTCATTGCCAATTTAACACAAACAGTATAACACATCTCAGTATCCACTAGAATTAATTAATCCATTAGAATTAATGACCACAAATTATTTGCTAATAACTCTTTATTTTAAAATAATTTTAGGTTTACATACAAAATTACAAAGATAATACAGAGATTTTCCACATACTCCTCACATAATTCCTACTCTGACTCATAGCAACCCTGTAGGACAGAGTAGAACTACCCCATAGGATCCAAGGAATGGTTGGTGGATTTGAACTGCCTACCTTTTGGTTAGCAGCCATAGCACTTAACCACTGTGCCACCAGGGCTCCACACATAGTTCCCCCTAATGTTAATAACTAATGATACATTCACCAAACTAAGAAACCAACATTAGTACATTAATATTAATAATAACTAAACTTCAATTACATGGAGTAACTAAAGCTAATCAAATAATGAGCTCAAGAACATCTCATATCCTTTTTTAATGGAAAAAAGCTACCATTTTGACGAAATAATAATACTTTTGACTTAAGTTTTAGACATGTGGTGTTACACCGGATTCTTTTCCAATGAATTGAAAATTAAATAATTTGGACAGAATTTATAATTAAATCACATGTGAGAGCTGTAGTACCTTCCGTGTTGAGATTAACTTGAATTTGTATTTCTTATGGAAGACCATTTTTTAAGTGCTATGGGACTCCAAGAAGGGTCAGTTCGTGAAGCCAGTTTATCCAAAGAGATTTTCATCTGCCACAAGACATTTTTTTTTCTTTTTTTTTTTTTTACTAATTCACTCAAGTTGTCCCTATCCTTAAATTTTCTTGACAAAGACAAGGGTTCATTATTTGGCACAGTAGTTTTTCCTGTTTATGCATTAACTTGTACCTAAAATTAATCAAAACACATTTATATTTTCATGCTATAAATGGCCTTTATTGAAAAGAATAAGAGTTCATGAAATAGAGATTGTTCTGGAAAACCCGGGATGGAGCACTTATATCCTAGCAACCAACTAACTGGTTGCACCTGGTCCTCCAGGGAGATCAACTTCTTATGTGCAGGATTGTCTTCTGTTTCTCAAGGCCAGCAGGAAAGGAGGAATAATATGACCTTCCATGAAAACGAAACAAACTTAAATCCTACATAATTAGACTTTTGGGACTGCTCTAATTTCACCCTTGTAGGATGTTTTACACTTGAGCTATAAAATGGGAGGGGCCAGATTTTGGGTTCTGTTGCATTTATTTTTCAGAGAGAACTATTCCTTTAGCCATTTTTGTAAGATGTGGAAGATTTTTTCTCGTGCTTGAATTAGTTCAGCTGAATCAGTAGCCTTTTGTCTGAACATTTCTGAACAATGTCCTGCACCTAAAAAAGAGAAAGATACATGTCAGAATATTTACATATCAACTATTCAAAGACCAGATGTCCTTGACCTCCAGCTGCACATTAGAGCCACTTTGAACACTGCTCAAACCAACCAATACCTGAGCCCCAAACTTCAGAGGTTCTAATTTAGTTAGTTTGGGGTGGGGCTGGGTATCAGTAATTTTCAAAAGCTGGTTAAAAGTTGATTAAAATGTGCACTTATAATTAAGAAAGAGAATTAGTTTACTAATATAATGGGCTTTGAATCAAAGAAGTAAGCTTCTTTGTAGATTAAGGTTGGATAAATTTATGATATTAACTAAAATGAGTTATTGATGGTGTCTACGAAATCCTTCCATGCTACAAATTAATGAACGTTTCTGGGAATGATTAAGGTAGTTGATTTAGAGACTAATGTTTTTAGTTTCCATTTTGTTCATTCCAAGTGTGATATAACTTAAGTTCCATCTGAGGAAGTTACAATGTCTGAATCTCAGTGAGTCTTATTTTAGAGAGTTTTCCGAGCAGTCTACTGGAATTGTACTACACCAGATCCAAGAGCCGATTATTCAAAAATTCTATAAGCTAGCTGTTAAACTGTGAGCTTGAAACTGGCCATGATGGAAGTATTTACACCATGGAAGTCACAGATGCTGAAAAACAGGTTTTTTGTTTGTTTGTTTGTTTTGTTTTGTTTTTCCTTAAGGAGAATGGGTTAATAAACATATAACATATGAGAATAAGATCAAACAGATGAAATTTGATGGAATCTTAAATATTAGTCAAACTTTTAATATTACAGATGTGGAACCTATGCCTCAGAGAGTTTAAGTGACTTGTCAACAAAATTACTAGTGGAACTAAGAATTGAACCCAGCTGACCAGAGTGTCACAGGCTGGTTTATGTAACAAATACTGTCAAATATGAGCTCAAGGTTTCACAAATAAGCATCTAGCCAAACCAAAAACATGACAAAATGGAACAAAACATTTGCCTTAAAGTCGATTCTAACTCATGACAAACCCATTTGTTTCAGAGTAGAACTGTGCTCCGTTTGGTTTTCAACGGCATGACCTTTTGAAAACAGATCGCCAGGTCTTTTTTCGGAGGCACCACCAACCTTTCTGTTAGTAGCCGAGCGCTTAACCATTTGCACAACCCAGGTATTCCAAGCATTTGTCCGTACAGTATTATTTATTTTAGGGGCAAGATGTATTTGGTGTTACCAAAAAATCCCTTGGTGCCAAGTCGATTCTGACTGTTACTCTTTAGGAAAGAGTAGAACTGCCCCATAGGGTTTCCAAGGATGTAATCTTTATGCAAACAGATAGCATCTTTCTCCTGCAGAGTGACTAGTGCATTTGAATGCCAACCTTTCTGGTAGCAGCTGAGTGTTCAACCATTGCACTACCAGGGCTCCTTGTTTTCTTTTAAGAAGCTAAAATTATGTAATAACTATGACAGGTACAGACAGTACAATGAGAAATATTTCTATGTACTTGGAAAGATCTCCAGTGTATATTGGTAAGAGAAACAAGGAAGGTGTAGGACAATGTATATAATATGCTACCACTTGTTTATGAAGGGATAAGAATACATATGATAGTATTTGCAAAAAGCAGGAGCCCTGGTGGCACAGGGGTAAAATACTCAGCTGCTAACTACATGCCTGCTCTGCAGTATAATGATGTGGCAGTCTGCTTCCATAAAGATTTACAGCCTTGAAAACCTTTTGAGGAAGTTCTATTCTGTCCTATAGGGTAACTATGAGTTGGAATCAACTTGCTGGCAGTGGGTTTGATTTTTTTTTTTTTTTTAATTTGCAAAAAAAGAAATACTGTAAAGATGAACAAAAATCTAATAGAGATGGCTCCCTAATAGGTTAGGAGGAAAACAGAGTAGGAAGGGTGTCTTAGTCATCCAGTGCCACTATAACAGAAATACTACAAGTGGATAGCCTCCACAAAGAGAAGTTAATTCTCTCACAGTCCAGCAGGCCAGAAGTCCGAACTCAGGGCACCCTCTCCAGGAGAAGGCCTTCTCTCTCTGTTGGCTCTGAAGGAAGGTCCTTGTCATGCATCAGTCTTCCCTTGGTCTGGGAGCATCGCTGAGCGGGAACTTCAGGTCTGAAGGACAAGCTTTGCTCCCAGCACTGCCTTCTTGGTGGTATGAGGTCCCCAAGTCTCTCTGCTTGCTTCTGTCTTTTATAACTCAAAAGAATTGGCTTAAAACACTGTCTACCTATCTAACTGCCACTAATTCATCTTATTACATCATAGTGATAGGATTTACAACACATAGGGAAATCATCTCTGACTAAAAAATGGTAAACAGTCATACGGTACTGGGAATCATGACCCAGCCAAGTTGACAAATATTTTGGGGGGACACTATTCAATCCATGATAAAGGGTAAGACTTCTGTCTGTGAAAAAGAAACAAAGGCCATGACAACGGACAGATGGTTACAAACTACAGTGTTTCCCATAAACATAAACAATTTCACAGAATTTCAACTTCAGATGAGGTGACATCTTGACTGTGATGAGATCAGGCACAAATAACACCACCCCGTAATCATGTGTGAACATGGACTAAAACAAGGACACACTACAATCAGCAGGAGTCCCTGGGTGATGCAAATCATTAAGTGCTACTAACTGAAAGACTGGCAGTTTTGAATCCACCCAGAAGTACCTTGGAAGAAAGTCCTGGCGATCTACTTCCAGAAAATCATAGCCATTTTAAAACCCTATGGAGCACAACACTACTCTGAAACACATGAGGTCATCATAAGTGCGAGTCAGAACTGGTTATTATTGTACAACAACAAAAGTAACAAACTATCCCTCACTCCTGGCTGACAGAGTAACTACTACTTTTCTACCACCACAACTCTAGTCCCACTTTGTTCCTCCCGCCTCCTAAATAAAAATTGCAAAGATTGTCAATCATTGAGTTGCTTCAACTGACTTACAGCATTTAATTTTGACCAATGGCCAAATTTCAACATGCGAAAGTATAAAATGATAGTTCTGACACGTACTAAAATTATGAATATCCAAGAATACATATTGAAATTCAAAAAGAAAAAACCAGTTATTATACAGTCTTGATTTTATTATTATCTAATATAATTAGCCATAGAACTATATTTTCAATGAGCACAAAGAACTAATTGAATATAAAATCCATTAGAAATGGGATAATGAAAAAGACGTGGAAATGGAGGTGAAGTGGAAAAAGCATATTTATCTACAAAATTTGCCTCAATATTTCAAATTATTCTCTAGTTACAGATAAGTGGTCTTTTCTTCAGCCAATGTGAACAACCTGAAGATAAGACTTTGTCCTTCTTACCAGGTTCTCTTCATTTTTATAATTGCATGAGTAGCATTTTCATCCTAAATTTCTTCTCTTTCTCCATTTTGTTCAGACATCTATGACCCAGGAAAGCTCTCTCTGCACTTATTTGATCAATGTCTGTTTCACATGTATGATGAGTAGCTCCTTGGAGCAGTGACTGTGTGCACGCTTACACATCTAGTGTCTAGCACAGCATCTGACACAAGCAGACACTCCATAAATATTTTTAAGTGAATGAATTTGAGCACTCCTTCTTACTAATTTCCATGAAAAAGGATTTGCAAAGGCTTTCTCAGATTTTCGAGGTCTTTTTGAAATCATTAAGAACTTACATCTCCAAAAAACTTGTGAGGCAGGTGGCACAATGGTTAAGGAGCATAACCTCCAGTGAGGCTCCTTGGCTTTGTGTTCTGGTCCTACTACTTATTACAGTGTGAGTCTTAGGCCAGTTGTCTTAACCTCTGTATAAGTTCCCAGGTGGTACAAACTGTTGATACATTCCTCCGCCATGAGAAAGGTTGGAGGTTCAAATCCGCCCAGAGATGCCTCAGAAAAAAGGTCTGGATATCTACTTCCATTAAAAAAAAAAAAAAAAAAAAAAAAAATCTGCCATTGAAAACTCTGTGGAGCAAAGTTCTACTCTGACAAACACAGGGTCATCAGGAGTCAGGGTCAAATTCACAGCATGTGGTTTTACTGGTTGTATGGTCAGCTTCCTTATCTGTAAAAGGAGAAATGTGATAGCAATTACCCTTGATTTTTAGGAGGATATAATGAGAGTATCCATGTAAAGTTTGACCTGCATTGTTCAATATGGTAGCCATCATGACCTACACGTGGCTATGTTCTTGCTCTTCAGTGCCATCACGTAGGTTCCTATTCATAGTGACCCTGTGTACAATGAAACAAAACACTGCCTCATCCTGTTACATCCTCACAATCATTGTTATAACTGAGCTCACTATTGCCATTGATTCTTCTTCAGTCTTCCTAATTCGTTGTTCAGATTTCACATGCATATGTGGCGATTGAAAATACCATAACTTGGGTCAGGCATACCTTAGTCCTTCAAGTGACATCTTTGCTTTTTAACACTTTAAAGAGATCTTTTGTAGCAGATTTGCCCAATGCAATGCATCCTTTGATTTATTGACTGCTGCTTCCACGGGTACTGATTGTGGATACAAGTCAATCCTCAACTCATGGCGACCCCATACACAACAGAACTAATTGCTTCTTGGTGCTGGGCCATTCCCGTGGCTGGTTGCAGATCAAACGATTGTGACCCATAGGGTTTTCATTGGCTGATGTCAAGAAATAGATCACCAGACTTTTCTTCCTAGTTCGCCTTAGTTTGGAAGCTCAACTGAAACTGTTCAGCATCATAACACACACAAGCCTCCAGTGACAGACAGGTGGTGGCTATATATGATGTGTATTGTCCTGGAATCCAACCTGGCTTTCCCATATTGAAGGCAAGAATTCAACTACTGAACCAACATAGCCTTCGTAATTTATTATTACATGCTGACATATTTTATCCTATTTGTAGGCCTTAACTGTTTACAATGGTTACCTTTAATGAAGACAGCAGGCAAATCTTTACTGATATCCTTTGTGATTCCCAGAGTATGCCAAGGATCAAAGGAACCATTGGAAAATATGATTTTGCTTCCCCTCACATTGAAGCCACCGTAGTACATGTTGGTAGACATAACACCCGTCTTCAGTGAATCGTAATTAAATTCTGGGCCAAAGACATCAGAACATGGCTTAACAAAATAACTGCAAAGAAAATGAGACAAAATTTTAGGTGCTAGAGAGCAGGACTGAGGAGTGTAATAAAGATATTTACAGAAAGAGTGTGGTGTTTTTCGGTTTTTGAGTTTTGTTTTCCCCTGAATTCTGAGTTACTTATAATAGCTAAAAGGATTTCTTCAGTTTAAGAAGGAAAGTTGTTTCTGTCTCTCTGTCTTTCTCTCTATCTATCTGTCTATGTATCTATCCTAGCCCAGCCTCTCTTTCTATGAGGTCTACTAATAGGTAAGCACAGAGGAATGTGGCCAGCAAAGTAATTTTCTATAGGACCCTTGGCCAACTCAATGTAGAACCTTAGTGAGGAGGATATAGACACCACCTGCTGCTGTTTTCTGGACTCCACCTAGGGCTTCAGAACAAGAAAGCACAAAATTCTTCTCTTTGCCTTCCCACCAAGTTCACACTTGAACCTAGACTAGTAACCACTGTGGAAGGAAGAAAACTCAATGCATAGCCTGCCTGCCTGTTAAGAAGGAAGAGTATAGAGGCAGTGAGAGTGAAAGACTGCCTCTAATGCAGGGAAGCATGCCCCAGGGCTCCTCAAACCCATCCAGTTCTAGTTGTTCTAGCCCTGAGGGTTTAGAACATCAAAGAAATCTAAAGAAGGGCGTCAATCAGAAAGCAAGATTTCTGCTTCTGTGTTCTAGGAGAAAAACGATATGTAAAGGAACAAAGGGCTGATAATGTGAATGGGACTTCTCTCCACACTGGTGGAACAGACACCAAAAGAAGTGTGGCTACAGTAGGTGTTTGCCCCAGTACAGGTACCTTCACATAGACATCACCCTTAAAAAAGTGTGGTCCAATTAGTACACTTGACTTTGACTAAGTTATACCTCCATTCCTCATTAGGAAATTTGAATTTTGGGGGACTTTCATAGGAAAAAACTATAGGCTCAAAGTTCATATTTTTTCCCCCAAGTTTATACTTTTTTCATAATTTTACCCTACAAGATACTTTTACATATTATAATATTTATGCATTTTCATGTATAAGATATCTACACATGGACATACTTGGATACATATAAAGAATGTTCCTCTTGCAATTTTAACTATAAAATTGCCTTTAAAGTTCTTCATACTTATTAGCTTCTGTTTCTAGTGGACAAATCTAGATATCAGGAACAATATCTTGCTCTACAAACCCAGTCAATATGAACAAAGGTTCATAAACCAATGAGAGAGAATTTGACTAAGGGTGATCTGTCTTGCTTCATACAACCAGCAAATCTTGGCTAACGTAAAATTCAAAACCATTGGAGAAATTGCCTTCTTTAGTTACAACTTTGCTGTTACCCAGCTTCCTTAATTGGATTTTTCAATAAACACACAAAGTACCTTCTTGGTAAAAGAGTGTTAAATATAATGACCCTGTAATGCCAACCAGTCAGAATGAGGCTACTAGTTTATTTATTCTTATTCATTCTCTAAAACCTATAGAGTACCTCCTGGTGGCTACTAATTAAGTCAGATTCAGAAAACTGATATTGGATTCTACATATCTTGTTGGAATATTATTAATTTCTCAAACTTCCATCCAGAAAATTTCTCCCTTAAACTTTCACCAATTTGAAATTGGCCAATCTGATCAATTTGAATATGGAAAAACAAACAAACAACAAAAAACCTACTATCATGGTTTCTAGTGACAAACAGAAGTCAAAGCAGAGCCTTTACCTGAGAGGCACTCCAGTGAAGGGCTGGTTCTTTGAATCCGTGGTCTTAAAGAAACCAAATTCAGTGCAAGACTGATAGAGCCATTGCCTGCCTAGAAAGCAAAACATCAATTGACTTAATCAGAAATGATATTTTTGTCAATGACAAACAAAAAGCTTAAACAAATTCAGTACTCTAATTTACATGATACTTGTGAACTTCTAAAACAAATTTGACCTCATTATTATTAATACTATTTTTAGTCATGTCCAGCATTACCACACCAAGAGCTCAAACTACATCCAGTGAGGAGATTCTAGTGAGGTCTTCACATGCTCCTAAAGTAATTCTATCTCATTCCGTCAGGACCATCTCTGTGAGTACCTCAGTTCTGTCCTCCTGTCTGTCCTCTAGTTCTATCCTTTGCTGGGAACACACTCTATTCTCTCTGCTTCTGCCTCTAGTGAACTCCTCCTCAGAATGTCTGAGACCCTTCTCCATGAAGTTTCATGAAGGTGGGATGCACACTCGATGCCCCTGTCCCTCACCATCTCTACCTCTTCAGACATGCTGTGACTGCAACTTCTCCCCAAGAGGTCACCAATATTGGTAGGATGAATCAAATTGTGGATAATACTTGGAAGTTCAGTTCATCTAAAGTCTAGCAGCTATGCCAAAAATTCACTTGTCTTTGAGTCACTTAGTTAAACATTTTAAGAACTATTCATACCAAAAATAGCTTGAAGTTGTAGGTATATTTGATGTCAAACAGACTAATGGGAGGGAGGGTCCCTAGGAGGTGATAACATTTTTTGCTTGACTGCTAACCTAAAGGTTGGCAATTTGAACCCACTCAGCAGTGCTGCACAAGAAAGTCCTGGTGATCTGGTCCTGTGAAGATTATAGCTAAGAAAATCCTATGGTACAGTTTTCCTCTGTAACACATGGGGTCGTCATGAGTTGAAATTGACTGGACAGCAACAGGTTAGGTCATTCCAGGGAGTAACCTTGTCTGAAAACTGCTGTATTTAGAATTTAAAGTGGGGTGAGGTATTTTCATGGCATCAGCGTGCTTGATTAATGTTGCAAAGTACTAAGGGGCATCTTTCTGTATTCTGCTTCTTGTAATCCTAAGCATTTGTTATTTCTGAATCTTTTATTAGCATGATTTAATCTGTGTATATCCAGCTCCTTAACTCATTCACTCTCTCTTCCCATCCTTGAATAAATTACCATAGTTCTGTTATTTTGTAATTCCTCATTTTCACCAGATAACGCTTTACCTTGTGTAGGCATGTGGTGATTTATGGAAGAGTCAGATAAGGCTTTCATTTTACCATCATAATCTGCATTAAACGAAAGTGAAAATGTTTCCTTAAACACTGAATGTACAATTCTTACAAGTCTGTAATATGGTGAACCCAGTGAGGTGTTAGTCATGATGTCACAAAAGTCTTCAATCCTGATAAAGACCTGGTTTCCCTGCAAAAATTGAGATTCCAATTATCCTTAAGAGAATAGACATGGGATGGCTTTCAGCTCCAAATGGAATTAAATTCCAAAACTATTTTAAATGATTTAAGTGATTGATTTTAATTCAAATAAGGTACAATTAGTCTGTGGTGACTTGGCCTGAAGATCAGCTTCTGAAAACTATCAGCTAACCTGTATGGGTTGCAGACTTGACGACAAGTGAGTCAACATCCCTCGTGCAAGACAAGTAGCTCATAAAAGCACTTGCTTTAACGAAAGCTTTTGGTATTCAGGTAGGTATTTTGTTTGGAAGAGGTTATAAATAAGCAAGCTTTGACTGAGCATGCAGTATCTTGCTAGAGCAGTGCCAGAACCTGTGGGAGGTGTAAAAGATGAGAACTAACACTTCAGAAGGATCCAGTCGAAGAAGACAAGATACATAAAATATGAAAACGTTAATGAGCTACTCTGGGAATTCTGAGAGAGTTTTGTGAGGACTAGAATCATGAGAAAAGGCTTCTTGAGGAGAGAGGAATTGTGGGGGACCTGGAAGATGGTGTAAGTTTTAAATAAATAGAAGTAAGTAGAGTGCATTTGTATGATTATACTAAAATGAAGTATCTAGAATAGATAAAGGTATAAAGATTAGTTTTTAATAGTGGTTACAGGGCAAAGAAGGACGAAGAAAAGGGAGAATCATTTTTCAGGTAATATAGAGTTTTTATTAACGGGGATGGACAATTTGGCAATGAATATTGATGATGTTTGCACATGTTTAATGTTATCATTTTTATTGAATTGTACATGTGAAAAATGTTGAATTTGCAAATGTTAAGTTTTTTATATTTTTTCCAAAATTAAAAAAAGAGACTGCATTTTACGCAAGAGGGGCAATATGTCTGAAGAAGTGGCGGCAAGTATGTGCAGTGTCTAAGAGGATGGTCAGTAGGCCTCAATGTGTGACATTGAATTAGTTACTTAACTGTCTGAGCCTTAGTTTGCTCATGTGCTCAATGTGGACAATAATAATAAACTAATCAGAGTAGCTCATAAGATTGCTGTGAGGATTAAATGAAAGCAGCCCTAAGGATAGTGCCTGCAACAAAGCCATTCTGTAAGAAGCAGCATTGCTATTATAATCATTATTATATTTCTTCTTCCATTTTTTTATTGTAGTAAGTATACAGGAATTAAAATACTTGCCGTTTCTACTATCTTTACATACACAGTTCAGTGATACTAATCATGATCATCATATTGTTCAACAAACACCATATTATTATTTTTTTGTCAAGAGAAATATTCAAAAAGAAAAAAAACTGGAAATATCTATTTTCATAGAATGTGGTTAGATTATGGAACTCTTACACTTTTGTTGATTGTCAGTATAAAAGGGATAAAGGGCCTGTGTAGAAAAGTTTTTAAAGGGACAATAAAACTTATTGTTTCAAATTTGCTACCTATTGAGAACCATAGAAGATTTTGTGTGGATAAAGGTCAAATCTGTTGGTAGAACTATACTTTCTAAATTACACTTGATGAATTGTCTGTGAATTTAGGAATCCCTAATGCCACACTTGGAGTTCCTGGATAGTGCAAATGTTTAATGTGCTGAGTGGCTATCCAAAAGGCTGGAGGTTCAAGCCCACCAACAGGTGCCTCAGAAAAAAAGATCTAGCAATCTACTTCCAAAAAGTCATCTGGTGGGAACTCTGTGGAGCACAATTCTATTGTGACACACATGGAGCCACTATGAGTCAGAATAGACATGACAGCAACCAGTTCATTGAATGCTACATTTGCACAGAAAATCTGAAGCTGACAGCCAACATAGAAACAGTTGCTAGAGAAACTGAATGTGATGAAAGGAAATATAAATATCCTTTATTAACTCATTTTTATCACATGCAATAGGACTTTCCCACTGTGTGATTACGGGAAGGGGTAAGGAGTGCCCTCGTGGTGTAGCGGTTAAGAGCACAACTGATAACCAAAAGGTCTATGGTTCAAATCCACCAGTCACTCCTTGGAAACCCTGTGGGGAGTTCTACTCTGTCCAATAGTGTCACTATGGGTCAGAACTTCCTCGATGGAAATGGATTTTTTGTTTGTTTGTTTGTTTTTGTTTTTTAAGGACAGACATGAGCAGTTAGCATAGAAAATAGACTTGAATTGTACTAATATTTTGTACAAATCACCTGAGGACCTGATGCTTGGTTCCCACTCTAGAGGTTTTGCAGTGAGGCCAAGGAATCTGCATTGTTAGCATGCATGTCAGGCAACTGTGCTGCAAATTGGTTCTCATGACAATTGTAGAAATGCTGGTAGAGCTGAATCCTCTTAGATGCTGATATTGAAAGAAAAAACTACTCTCACCATGTCACCTATATAGTGGCATTTCAGGGGATTTGGTTTCATTTGGTATAGGTGAAGCCCTATTAAAATAAGACATAGATTTGCAGTGTTTGTTGGAGTGAGGGAAAAAGCCTTCAAAAACTCATAATTGGCTGAGCATCATCTGTGTACGTGGCGTCACATTAGGTATCAAGGGATTAATGTATATTCCTCATTTCTATTAGGCTCTTCAAATGGCAAATCTAAATATCAGCTTTCATGCTAGAGTTGTATGTTAGTTCAGAAAAAAGAAAACCACATGAATTTCAAACTACTTACCTCCCCATATAGCACATAAAATCCTCCAAATCTAAGTTTGATCTATTATCAGAAAATAAGTTAGATTTTTACATAAGAAAATTCTATGTTGTAAAAATTTTAAGTGTGTAGTTGCCAATCCATGTATTTCTAACTCTGAGATTTCAGTCATGAAACAAAAGGTAGGATGAAGTCTCTTGTAAACAACTATAATCTTGGAAATGTTGAAAAAAAAAAAGGTGTTAAAGAGAAAAGTTTATCCTTGACCATGCCCTTTCCAACCACTTCCTAACTCCAAAGCACACCTCGAGAAATTATTGGGTATTATTCATTAAAATCATTAAGCCAACAGATGCTGAGAGAAAGAATCTGCCTTGTGAAGATTAAAGTTTGAATTTTCATGAGCCCATTGGCTTCCTTTAAAGGTTCTTCCATGAAGACACTATCCTGCCATCATCTGCACAACAGTGTCGCCTCTTGGCTTTGCTTCATGTTGACTGTGTGACTGCCAGCCAGTTACTTGGCCTCTCTGAGGATCAGGGTCCGTATCTTTAAATGTGGATCTAAGAATGCCTACCTGAATAAAACAAAATAAAAATAAAATAAAAAAACCACTGCCATCAAGTCAACTCGGTCTCATAGCAACCCTATAGGACAAAGTAGAACTGCTTTATTTGGTTTCCAACGAGCCCCTGGTGGATTCGAACTGCCAACCTTTTGGTTAGCAGCCATAGCTCTTTACCACTACACTTCCAGGGTTTCTTTCCAAAAGCCCACCTAGGAGAGTATATTAGAGCAAATGAGATAACTTTAGTGGACCTGTCCTGTAGATTGCTGCATCTCAGTTGTGATCATTAAATCTGATATTTTCTATGATAGAGTGAACATTTAATTTTGCAAAAAGGAAGGAAGGAAGAAAGAAAGGATGCGGGAGGGAGGAAGGAAAGAAAAGAAAGAGAAAAGGAAGTGAGGATGAAATTATTTACTTAATTTGGAGTCTTCTTAAAAAGAAGTTAAGAAAACATATTATATATTATCACTGTAGTCAACACACGGGTTTTAGTCAGAGAAAGTCACATCAAAATTCTGACTCAGCCCCTTAGTAGCCTTGTGTCTTTGGGCAAGTTATTTAAAGCCTTGAAGCCTGGGCTCCTCATTTGTAAAATAAGACTTACACAGAGATACTATGAGAATTTTTAGGAGAAAAAAATATAAACTACTTAGTATAAGGTCTGTGCAACAATAAGCCCTTGGTCTGTGGTAGTTGTTATAAATATCATTATCTCATTATTACAATTATTATTCATTAACAAAATGGAACCGGTAAAAGCCATTACTTGTTCATTTATAAGCAAACTTTTTTGATACGAGTCCATTACATTTGCAAAAGATCAAATTACATGATCTTGGCCTTCTGATAGAACAACTATCAGCCTCAAAATTAACCTCTAAACTGTTTTCCAGGCCATTGGAGGCTAGTCATACAATATTTGACTCCTAAGTCCCATAATGATTGTCATCTTTGCTGAGAATTCGTACTAGCCAAATTGGAGACAAGGCATATCAGTCACGAAGTCAGCAAATCCTCCATTCTTTTGAGTAAGAAGGTGGGCACAAAATTAACACTTACAGATTAAATCACAGGGAAATAACCGTACATGAAGAATTATTTTTAATTCTGGTTAAATGTGGGCCTTGCATGCTCTTAACGAGATTTAAAAAAAAAAAAATGCATATAGACTTAACTCAATAATTTAATAATTACTAATTATTCAGTAATAAAAGACTTACGCATGATATTTAAATTAGAAAACAGATATACAAATCACACATTACGAGCCAAGTCTCTCTTTGAATGATCCTTTAGAAATAATCAAGATTTTTCTCTACAAACTACTTCCAAAGAGAAGAGAGAGGAAAGTGTGACGCTCATCTTTTCTGTATAACTAAAATACCCAGGTGTGCTGGGGGATGGGAACAAGAAAATGGATGTGGATGGTTCTGTTGTTTCAGACCCTTAGTAATGGTTTTCGGGGAGAGAAGGCATTGGGAGTGTCTGCTCCTCAGCCTGACCTTGTTATTCCCAGCACGTGTTACCAAGAGTTAGGGGCAGCTCCTTTCTCAGAATGACTCCAGTATTCAGAGGATTCTGAACTCAACATTGGTCTTAGGTTTCGTAACGTAATCACTAACCTAGGAACCTCTAATTCATTCAAACTCAGTCATATATACAACATTTATTTTTTTGTTTTTGGAAAGATGACTTTCTACCAAGACTGTAAGGTCTAATTTCACAAATATTTCCTTTGTTAGGCACATATATCATTATCGAATGCCTGTTATGGGTTGAATTCTGTCCGCCTTAAAGTTATATTGCAGTCCTAACACCTGATCCCTCTGAATGTGACATTGTTTGGAAATGGGCTCTTTGAAGATATTATAAGTTAACATGATGCCCTGCTGGAATAGGTGAGTCATACTCCAATATGAGTGCCTCCATATAAAAGAAGAAAACAGACACAGAAAGACATGTAGTAGCGAAGGGAACAGAGCCTTGTAATGATGACGTTATGATGAGACTGCAATCCAAGGAATGCCAAAGGTTACCAGAAGCTGAAAGAGACAATAAAGAATCTCCCCTAGAAAGTTCAGAGAGTACATGGCCCAGCTGACACCCTGAATTAGTAATTTTAGACTACAGAATGGTGAGACGCTAAGTTTATGTTGTTGAAAGCCACATCCTTTGTGATAATTTGTTAAGGCAGCACTAGGAAACTACTACAATGTCCCATGATGTAGGTGTCTTAGCCCCAAAAGCCTTGGAACTAATTATACCTACCTCATGGGGTATCCTGTTATGAGTCACAAAGATAACAAGAGACAGAAACTGTGGAGAAGGGGGCCTGGAGATCTAGCATGACCCATATCAATGTTCTTTCTCCAGATACCAAAGAAAAACTGAATGGGAGCCAGGCAGATCTCTGTTCTAAAGAATGGTATGATCTAGCAGAAGAAATGTACTCCTACAGCACCAAATGAGATGGAGAAATCTGTATATACATATGATAAGATCACAAATAAAATGCTGTGAGTGGGGAGTACTGGTTAAAGAAAGAAGAGGTTGTATCTGCTTGGAGCAGTGAGGAGAGATTTCATGGGAGGGTGGTTTTTAAAATGCACTTAATGGATTCTGATGGGAACAAGAATAGGGGGTCTTCCAGAAGACTAGAGTAACATGAGGGAAATCTGCATGTGAGTACAAGAATAGCAAATTGTAGAATAAGGCTAGAACACAAGTTAGGAAACTTGGAAGAATGAACAATAGCAGACTGAAACATTTTTGTAGTAGTTCATTCTGTTGAAGAAGAGTTTCTAAGAGTTTTTCAGCAAGAGAAGCAATGAGATAAGAGCTGTGCTTTAGGAAGATTAACCTAGAGTTTTGTATACAAAGAAGTGGGTTAGAGGCAGACAGGAGGCTGGCAGACAGCTCAGAAGGCCTGTTAAAGATCTGAATGAGAATGGAAAGGGATAACAATGAAGGAGGGAATGGCCACAACTGTCTGTTTTTACCACTCTTTCGCCAGCACATAGCACAGTGCTGGCACTAAGTTGGTACTCAGTGTGGGAGGATGGAAGCAAAGGAGGAAGAGAGAGACAGAGTGTTGGAAGGAGGGAGAGAGAGAAAGGGGGAAGGAGAGAAAGTATGAGAGACATTTCCATTACGACTTTGAAAACTTGTGTGTAATATTCTCAACTCATAATTATGAAGCTCCCTCCCCCCAAAAAACTGTACATAAAAGCTGGTGAGATCCAAGTAAGATCTGTAGTCTAGTTAACTCTATTGTGCCAATGTCAACTGGTTTTGATAATGTACTATAGTTATATAAGATGTTTATATTGGATAAAAGTGGATGAAAGGAACATAAGACATCTCAGTATATTTTTTGTAACTTCTTGTAAGCCCGTAAATAGTTCAAAGTAAAAAAAGGTATAAAATAAATCAATGCAAGTTGTAAATAAGTTTATCCCCTTGTTCTAGCAGATGTCTGTCCTTGTACTTACTCTCTTTGGCAGTTTACCTGGCTGGGTTAGAACAGGGTGACCTGTGGGGTGAGGCTCTCTTGGTTAGGTACCCCAGGCTCTGGACATGTAACTTAATCTCTGAATTCCTCAAAAAAACTTTATTTCGCTAATCTTCAAAAAAAGTTGTGATTTTTTTTTTTGAGATATATCAAAGTTCCCAAGTTTTCCATTTCAGAATCTGTCCTATTCCATGACCCAGTGTATCAAAAATGCTAAAAATATTATCATCTTTATATTCAAATTTTCTACACCTGGCAGTTATATAAACTATAAAAATTCAGCATATTTTGCTCTTCAGTCCATACAAGACATTAATTCCATTATTTTCTATTTGCTTATAATTGTTATTATGAAATAGATCAGGCTCAGGGTAATCCTACTTAATGGGACAGCTTTCTAAACTTTTTTAAATAAAAGATTTTATTGAAGTAGTTGAATTTTGTCTTACAGCGCATCCATTATTATCCCATTATTCCATTTTTTAAAAGAGTTTCCAAGTGTATTTAGAGTAAAAGATGAATAAGAAGAAGACATTTTGGCATATTAATAATTCAGTAGCTGACATATTTCATCATTTAGTTTTATTGTTATACTAGAGGCTTGTATTATTATTTTAATTTTTAAAGAAATATCCAAACCATGTATATCTTTCTCTACAACTAATTTATGACACCTAGACAACTAGTGAATGCCTACTTGAGCTTTTCTTTCTTTCTCCTTCTCTCCCCTGCTTTATTTCACCATTTCATTACCTTTTTTTTTTTATCCATATTGTGTTGAACATTGGTGGCAACAAGCAAAACCAAACGTTCCAGAAAAAAGGTTGTGTCCATTACTGAGTTAAATTTAAAATTTTTACATAACCTGTGGAAAGAAAACCGGAGAATACATTTGAAATTTCATTTCATTTTAACCTCAAAACTGAAATGTAAACAATTATTCAAAATGAATGAATACTAGATTTCTTCAGAATATTTATACTGTGGAAGAAGAAATAAATTATGGTCCCTAGTTTTAAGTTTTCTCAAAACATATATGAAAATAATCCCATCCAGCATTTTTGAAACACTGTTCTTATCAAAATGTTGTGGTTGTTGTTAGTTGCCCTCCAGTCAGTTCCAATTCATGGCTACCCTATGTACAACAGAAGGAAACACTGACCTGTCCTGCACTATCTTCACAATCGTTATGCTTCAACCCATTGTTACAGCCAATGTATCAATCCGTCTCATTGAAGGTCTTCCTCTTTTTTGCTGACCCTCTACTTTACCAAGCATAATTTCCTTCTCCAGGGACTGATCCCTCCTGATAACACTTCCAAAGTATGTTAGATGTAGTGTAGCCATTTTTGCTTCTAAGGAGCAGTCTGGCTGTACTTCTTCCAAGACAGATTTGTTGGTTCTTTTGGCAGTCTATGTGATATTCAGTATTCTTCACCAACATCACACTTCAAAGGCATCAATTATTCTTTGATCGTCCTTAGTCATCATCCAGCTTTCGTTTGCATATGATGCCATTGGAAACACCATGGCTTGTGTCAGGCTCACCTTAGTCTTCACAGTGATGTCTTTGCTTTTCAACACTTTAAAGAGGACTATTGCAGCAGATTTGCCCAGTGCAAATCCTTGCACAGGTACAGAATCCCGTACAAAATCCTTACTCCAGATAGTGTATAAATGATAACTTTGAATTGTCTTTTAGAACAGATAATAGCAGAAATGGGAAATCAAAGATACACACTAAAGAGAAATGAATGATCCCATAGATTAAATAGACCTGTGAGATACAGTAGTTCCTGTAAACAACCAGGAATCATGTATAAGGAGATAGCTAAAGTAAATGCAAGAGTATTCACAAACACACAATGGCAAACATTTTTCAGTGATGGGTATTCTGGACAGTACTGGGTCAGTTTAGATCTGAGGGCTATTTTGCTGGAGGTGTCGAGGTGTGAGCAGTTCTGAGGACTGCAAATTACCTTGTGATCTTAGAAAAGTCAGTTAAGTTTCTAGGTATTAAGTTTTTAAAACTATAAAATGACAGAGTTAGAACTAGATGATCTCTTAGAGCTCTTCCACAAATTAAATTCTAGAGAAATGCCTTTACTCTGATTTTTCAAAGTTTGATGTTGACAGGTTAAAGTATCATTCAGATACTTACCAAGTACTAATATGGCATGTTTATATTTAACTGAGGCCTTTGTGTTGATTATTCACCACTTTTAAGATTATGAACCATTCTGGAGAACTTGATATTTAAAGAAATATAGAAAGTAAAGTCCATGTTTAACAACAAAGAGTGTAGAATATTGGAGGCAGAGCCAATATGGGCCTATAGACAGAAGGACCATGCTGTTCCTCTGCAGCAAAGACCCGAAAAACTAAGTAAAACAGATGCAAACATCAATCTTGGAACTCTAAGTACCAAATGAAGGAATAAAGAACTAGATAAAGCACTGAATGGAATAAGAAACTGACAGAGAACAGAGAATGAGGAGATCTATGTAGTGGAGGTCCCATACCAGTTAATGTGACTGAATTCCACATCTTGGGCTAAAGCTGGGAAAGAATTCAGACAGGGAGTACAGGAAGGCAACTTCATGCAGTCCCCAACAGGAGACAGAGCACCCGGAAACCAGGAATACATGCTTTCCCACTCTGATCCTTGTTTCTTCTATGCGGCATCTGCTGCTTTCCAACATGCCATGGTTGCTCAGCAGGAGAGACACTAACCGCTGCAGGGGTCCGTCCTGCCCCCACCAGCTGGCTCCTTCAGTGCCATTTTATGTTTGTTTGGTTTGGTTTGTATTTTAGTTTTTTTCTGCATGTTTTTGATTTTTTGGTTTGGCTTTTCTTTTTTTTTTTTTGGTTGCTTCTCTCTCTCTCCCTTCCTTCCTTTCCTTTCTCCTGCCCAGCTAACCCTGTGTGCAATCGCCTCCCCTTCTTACTTGGCTGTGATTTTTTGGTTTGTTTGCTTTGTTCTTTTTTTTTTGTTTGCTTGTTTTGTTTTTTGTTTATTTGTTTGCTTATATATATAGTCCACACATATATAGGCCATTTTTGTTGCTTCTCTTTCTCCCCTCCTTTCCTTTTTCTTCCCTCACCCCCGGCTGGACCCATGTGCCATACCATCCCCTTCTTGATGGGCTGCTATATTTTGGTTTGTTTCCTTTCTTCTTCTTCTTCTTTTTTTTTTTTTCTTTTCTTCCTTTTTTGTCTTTTTCTTCTCTCTCTCTCTCTCCTTTCCTTCTTTTCCTCCTGGAGGGGCTGTGCTACACAGTTCAGTTGAAGAGTCACTACACTTAGCCTCCCTGGGTCTGTGCTAGCATCACTGACCAGCTCCCTCAACACCATTTTATTTATTGGTTGACTGATTTTTTTTCTTTTTCTTATTGTTTCTTCCATCTCTCTCCCTTCCTTCCTTTCCATTCTCCCATCCACCAAGCCCTGTATGCAGCCCCCAACTTTTTGGTGGGCTGTGCTGTACTGCTCTGCTGGAGAGCCTCAGGCACATGGTTTCCCCGGATCTGTGCTGCCTCCACAGGCTAGCTCCCTCTGCATTGTATTTTATATTTTTGTTTATCTTTCTTCTTTTCCTTCTCCCTCCCAGGTAGGCCCTGCACTGCCTCTGTCCCTTCCTGAGGGGCTGTGCTGTGCCACACAGGGAAAGAGACAACAGCTCACCGCTACCCAAATTTTGCCCTGCCCCCATCGACTGGAACCCCCATCACCATATTTTGTTTTTATTTTCTTTAATTGTTCTTTGAAATTTTTTATTTGTTTGTTTGTTTCTTCTCTTTCTTTCCCCTCTTTTGTTTTCTTTCACCCACCCATCTAGATGCCTGCACCACCCATCTGCTTCTCCACAGGCTGAGCCACACCTCTCGGCTAGAGAGCCACCAGCACACAGCCTTGCCAGGTCTGCCTCTCCCCGACATGCCAAATCGTACCTCATTGCCATTTTATTTCCTTTTTTTATTTTTCTTTCTTTATTTTTTTAACTTCATTTTTTTTGCTTTTTTCACTTTTTTTTTGCTTTTGTTTCTCTTTTCTATCTCTTCTTTCACCTACCTACTTAGCTCTGCACATCACATCATCTCCTTTCCCTCCTGCCTATCCACATTGTGTGCTGGATGCCATGCCTCCAAACGATACCAGTGCATTCCCCTGGGTCCTACCACCTGGCACTCCCCCCCAGCACTGCCCCATCACCCCCAGTTCATGCCACCAACTACTCATCCCCACCCTTACCCTGCTGGAGCTGCCCTACTGCAACATAGCTGAGTGGACGGCCCTGTCCACTTGGACAAGGTGGTGACACATATCATACCCACAGGCAGGCAAATAACAAAACATACCAAGTCTGCCTGCCCAGATCTAACCTAATAAAACAAACAAAGAACAACCAAAAATAGGATTAAATAATCAAATCTAGAATCAATAAACAAAGGAAATAATTCCTGAAAGTCCAGGAGACAGAAGTCAGTGTCAAAACATATTTCAAAAAAAGAAGAGGATGGCTCCAGAAAGCAATCAGAATAAAGCCACTGATGAACTTCTGCTAGAAGAAAAAGTACTAGAACTACCTGATAAAGAATTCATAACAATAATATTCAGACAAAAATAAGGAAAAATTGACAAAATTATGGAAATGATAAACAAAACAATGGAAGAAATCAGGAAAATAGTGCAGGAACAAAATGTCAAATTAAATAAACAACTAGAAATCATATGAAAACAGAAATTAGAAATCCAAAGGATAAAAAAGAAGATTTCAGAAATGGACAGTGCAATAAAAGGTTTTAGGAGCAAATGTGAAACAATGGAAGGCAGAATCAGTGAAATTGAAGAGAAATCCTTGGATACCAGTTTGAGGAAAAATCAGAGAAAAATTAAGAAACCCTGAGAACAGTGTGGAATACAATCAAAAGCAAAAATTTGTGTATGATTCGATTTCCAGAACAGGAGGATAAAACAGAAAACACAGTTAGGATATTGAAGATTTGCTGACATAAAACTTCCCTGATAGCATGAAAGATGAACAGCCGACTATCCAAAAAGCTCAACGAAACCCACATAGGGTAGACTTCAAAGGAAAAACACCAAGACATATGATAATCACACTTGCTAAAACCAAAGACAAAGAAAAAATCCTAAGAGCAAGTTGAGAAAAATAAAATGTCACGTACAAAGGGGAAACAAAAAGACTAAGCTCTGATTACTCAGCAGGAACCATGCAGGCAAGAAAGCAATTGGATGACATATACACAGTCTTCAAAGAAAAAAAAAGACCAACCAAGAATAATATATCCTGCAATTCTCTCACTCAGATATGATGCAAAATCAGGACATTTTCAGATAAAGAGCAATTAAAGGAATATGTAAAAACCAACACAAAATTACAAGAATTATTAAAGGGAGTCCTTTGGTTAGAGAACAAACAACATCAGACAACAACCTAAACCTACACGAGACGACATCAGTCAGATACCAACCTAGATAATGAACTCTCAAGGATAAAACAAAAGTAAACAATCTACAACAAAAAACCAGTTGTTGATAAGTGACAAAAACTTCAGAACAATAAAAAGGGGAATAGATGGTGTAGATATAAGACTTTCAAAGGAGAATTAGTCAAGGTTTTATTAAGTAAACAAGACTGGTTTAAACTTAGGAAGATAGGGATAAATTTCAAGGTAACAACAAAGAAAGTTAACAAACCTACTTATTAAAATATATAAGAAAAACATAAAGTCTCAGTAAGCACAAAATCTACAAAAATGAAGAAACCAAAAAAATAGACAAATAAAAGGAATTCAGAACAAAAGAGTAAGAGGAACAAAGAACACATCAACAACACAAAAA